CGCTGGCAGAGTTCAAGCAACTGGTGGAATTCAACCTTGAACGCCCGCACTGCCGTCGCATCCGGGTCAACGCGGCGTGGACCTACCGGATCTCTCTCACTCACTCCCTCTTCCCCGCCAGGCCCATTGACTATGACCCGTTAGGTCGGTTCCCGCGTGTATGCGGCGCTCCTCCCTTCCGCGAGCGCCTCCGACCTACAGGCCCTACGGGCCTGCGCAGACAGAGAAGCCCCGCGGATGGCGCCTCTAGGCGCTGCCCTTGGGGTACGCGGATGCCCTACAAGGACACTTGTTTTCCCATCTGAGGTCAGGGTGTGATTCCAGCGACAGCAACGACGCCGTCCCGTGGAGGCGACCATGCCAGAGGTGTGCCGCGCGGCCCGAGCTCTGAGCTCAGCAGCTCAGCGTGAAGCTGCCAAGCCAGCCGTCGACGACGGTGCCCGCCGTACTGATGACCTCGCAGTTGGTGGTATAGTCGCTCGCGCTGTGCTCGACGATCTGTGCCTTGTAGTCGTGGTGCTCGCTGCAGGTCATTCGCGAAAGCGTCAGCTTGCCTGGACCTCAGAACTTCACAGAGGCAACATTGGCGCCCTGGATCATGTTGCACTTGCCGTCCTCCGTGGTGATCTCCGAGAACTCGGCGGTACCCGCGGCGTCCGCGGAGGTCGAGGTGAAGATCTGCGTCTGCTGGCCGCACACGAACCTGGTGTGCGTCACGGCGGCCTGTGCGGACCCCAGCAGGAGCAGCACAGACGCGGCGCGGAGCGCCATGACGCGGGCGGCCTGCTTCTACAATGGGGGGCGGGTGAGGGCACAACGTGCTGCAGGTCCTTGTGGCTTGAGCCACAATGGCCACGGAGGATACCCCACAGGGAGACTGGTTGAGGGTGGGGGAGGTGCGCGGTGCGGTGGGGCCCGGGAGCGGCGAGAGGAGGAGTACGAGGAGAGGGGGGAGCAGAGTGGATCCAGGATGCGCCAAAACGATGTCTCGACACACCCTCCCGTCCCAAGTCCACCCCTCCTCAGTCCGAGCAATCATTCACTTCTCTACGGGTAGCACCTCTTTGAAAACTGAGCTCCCCATGGGCCTGCCGATCAGGCGAGAGCCCTGTCTGGAAAAGGAGCTGCCGTGCTACTTCTTTATGTGTATGGGGCTGCGAGGAAGCCGCAAGTTGGGGCATAGTCCAACGCGGGCCCGTTTCGAAAAGGAGCCGCCCTCCATTCGTGCAACTGTTGCGCATGCCGCATGCCTGGGTTTCGGGCCACACGTCCGAGGAGATCTCAAGTGACAACGCCAAGTTGCGCAGGAACGTGTAATCATCCGCGTGCCTGTTGTGCAACTTACACCTCAGACTAAAAACCTCGAGAACACCTCCACCGTAAAAACGCCGTTATGAAACGGAACTGCCCTCCATCACATCAGCCGTTGGTACCTAAGTTTCAAACCAGGCGCTACCTTGTAGCTGCTAGAAACGTTTAAGACGAATGCGCGCGGGGGGCGAAAACGCGAACCACATTCTGGAAGCCACCCGCCCTCCATCCGTGAACGGGGTGCGTTGCGATTGCCGTAGGTATGCGCGCGAGCACCAGCATTATGCAGGCATCGCACCCTACGTACGATCATTACTGTTACCTGGGGGGTCTTGAGCCGGGGTAATGGGGAAGGACCGTTACGCGCCAGCGGGTCATCCAAGCAATCTCACTTGAACGAGATGGGCGAGGAGCAAAGATAGGGGTCGCGCGAGAGGACACGCAGCGACCTTACGCGCTGGTTTACGCGGGGAGCTAGGCCCGCAGCACATCGTGCGGAGACGAGGGCGCTTCCTCTCGACCACACACTTTGCAACGTACGTGGGGACATCGGCTCAACGGACCTGATTTATACGTCGTTCAGGTGCACGGTGAGGGCATACCGTCAAAACGCATAATGAGGATGCACGGTAAGCATGCACGGGCCTTGGAATACCACGTTGACGTTTCTCAAACGGGGCTGACCAGCGAAGGCCGCGAAACATGGGCCGAAGGGGCACGGCTGCAAGGGGAACCTTCGAAAATTGCTCATCCTCACGGTGCGCTTTGACTGTACGCGCGGATCTCGTCGCAGCCTACCCTGCTCTCTACGTCGCTCGGGTGAGTGAGTGCAGAACTCTTCGGCGTCGGCGGCGCCCGGAGCGGCGAGAGCGCGGAACCAAGAGGTTATGGGCTCCTCCGGGGCCCCGAGCCTGAGAGAAATCGGCGCGCTCGCTGAAAACGCAAACCGCCCCAACGTGCCAGAAATCGACCGACGTGGTAGCAGCCTGCGGCCATTTAGTCACGAAGATCGAGGTCTCGGACTGAGTCTCTCTTTCTCTCTCTTTCTCTCGCTCTCTCTCTCTCTCTCTCTTTCGACGGCAGGCTGAAGTCGCGATGATGCTGGCGTGGGTTTCTGACGCTTCGCGGCTTGTTCAATCTTGATCGACTGCCGCTCTCCGATATCAGAGGTCCCTGCATACAGTCATCGTCCGACGATAAGGAACATTGAACATTGAACAAGCAACGAAAGGTTTTGTCTAGCCACGGCGAGCCTCGGCCACGGATCGGTTCCCCGACCAACGGCAAGAAAACCTCAGCCCCTGCGGGGCACAAAGTGACCCCCATTTCAGCGTCTGGGCTGCGCTGGCAGAGTTCAAGCAACTGGTGGAATTCAACCTTGAACGCCCGCACTGCCGTCGCATCCGGGTCAACGCGGCGTGGACCTACCGGATCTCTCTCACTCACTCCCTCTTCCCCGCCAGGCCCATTGACTATGACCCGTTAGGTAGGTTCCCGCGTGTATGCGGCGCTCCTCCCTTCTGCGAGCGCCTCCGACCTACAGGCCCTACGGGCCTGCGCAGACAGAGAAGCCCCGCGGATGGCGCCTCTAGGCGCTGCCCTTGGGGTACGCGGATGCCCTACAAGGACACTTGTTTTCCCATCTGAGGTCAGGGTGTGATTCCAGCGACAGCAACGACGCCGTCCCGTGGAGGCGACCATGCCAGAGGTGTGCCGCGCGGCCCGACTCTGAGCTCAGCAGCTCAGCGTGAAGCTGCCAAGCCAGCCGTCGACGACGGTGCCCGCCGTACTGATGACCTCGCAGTTGGTGGTATAGTCGCTCGCGCTGTGCTCGACGATCTGTGCCTTGTAGTCGTGGTGCTCGCTGCAGGTCATTCGCGAAAGCGTCAGCTTGCCTGGACCGCAGAACTTCACAGAGGCAACATTGGCGCCCTGGATCATGTTGCACTTGCCGTCCTCCGTGGTGATCTCGGAGAACTCGGCGGTACCCGCGGCGTCCGCGGAGGTCGAGGTGAAGATCTGCGTCTGCTGGCCGCACACGAACCTGGTGTGCGTCACGGCGGCCTGTGCGGACCCCAGCAGGAGCAGCACAGACGCGGCGCGGAGCGCCATGACGCGGGCGGCCTGCTTCTACAATGGGGGGCGGGTGAGGGCACAACGTGCTGCAGGTCCTTGTGGCTTGAGCCACAATGGCCACGGAGGATACCCCACAGGGAGACTGGTTGAGGGTGGGGGAGGTGCGCGGTGCGGTGCGAGAGGAGGAGTACGAGGAGAGGGGGGAGCAGAGTGGATCCAGGATGCGCCAAAACGATGTCTCGACACACCCTCCCGTCCCAAGTCCACCCCTCCTCAGTCCGAGCAATCATTCATTTCTCTACGGGTAACACCTCTTTGAAAACTGAGCTCCCCATGGGCCTGCCGATCAGGCGAGAGCCCTGTCTGGAAAAGGAGCTGCCGTGCTACTTCTTTATGTGTATGGGGCTGCGAGGAAGCCGCAAGTTGGGGCATAGTCCAACGCGGGCCCGTTTCGAAAAGGAGCCGCCCTCCATCCGTGCAACTGTTGCGCATGCCGCATGCCTGGGCTTCGGGCCACACGTCCGAGGAGATCTCAAGTGACAACGCCAAATTGCGTAGGAACGTGTAATCATCCACGTGCCTGTTGTGCAACTTACACCTCAGACTAAAAGCCTCGAGAACACCTCCACCGTAAAAACTCCGTTATGAAACGGAACTGCCCTCCATCTCATCAGCCGTTGGTACCTAAGTTTCAAACCAGGCGCTACCTTGTAGCTGCTAGAAACGTTTAAGACGAATGCGCGCGGGGCGAAAACGCGAACCACATTCTGGAAGCCACCCGCCCTCCATCCGTGAACGGGGTGCGTTGCGATTGCCGTAGGTATGCGCGCGAGCACCAGCATTATGCAGGCATCCCACCCTACGTACGATCATTACTGTTACCTGGGGGGTCTTGAGCCGGGGTAATGGGGAAGGACCGTTACGCGCCAGCGGGTCATCCAAGCAATCTCACTTGAACGAGATGGGCAAGGAGCAAAGATAGGGGTCGCGCGAGAGGACACGCAGCGACCTTACGCGCTGGTTTACGCGGGGAGCTAGGCCCGCAGCACATCGTGCGGAGACGAGGGCGCTTCCTCTCGACCACACACTTTGCAACGTACGTGGGGACATCGGCTCAACGGACCCTGATTTATACGTCGTTCAAGTGCACGGTGAGGGCATACCGTCAAAACGCATAATGAGGATGCACGGTAAGGATGCACGGGCCTTGGAATACCACGTTGACGTTTCTCGAACGGGGCTGACCAGCGAAGGCCGCGAAACATGGGCCGAAGGGGCACGGGTGCAAGGGGAACCTTCGAAAATTGCTCATCCTCACGATGCGCTTTGACTGTACGCGCGGATCTCGTCGCAGCCTACCGTGCTCTCTACGTCGCTCGGGTGAGTGAGTGCAGAACTCTTCGGCGTCGGCGGCGCCCGGAGCGGCGAGAGCGCGGAACCAAGAGGTTCTGGGCTCCTCCGGGGCCCCGAGCCTGAGAGAAATCGGCGCGCTCGCTGAAAACGCAAACCGCCCCAACGTGCCAGAAATCGACCGACGTGGTAGCAGCCTGCGGCCATTTAGTCACGAAGATCGAGGTCTCGGACTGAGTCTCTCTTTCTCTCTCTTTCTCTCGCTCTCTCTCTCTCTCTCTCTCTCTTTCGACGGCAGGCTGAAGTCGCGATGATGCTGGCGTGGGTTTCTGACGCTTCGCGGCTTGTTCAATCTTGATCGACTGCCGCTCTCCGATATCAGAGGTCCCTGCATACAGTCATCGTCCGACGATAAGGAACATTGAACATTGAACAAGCAACGAAAGGTTTTGTCTAGCCACGGCGAGCCTCGGCCACGGATCGGTTCCCCGACCAACGGCAAGAAAACCTCAGCCCCTGCGGGGCACAAAGTGACCCCCATTTCAGCGTCTGGGCTGCGCTGGCAGAGTTCAAGCAACTGGTGGAATTCAACCTTGAACGCCCGCACTGCCGTCGCATCCGGGTCAACGCGGCGTGGACCTACCGGATCTCTCTCACTCACTCCCTCTTCCCCGCCAGGCCCATTGACTATGACCCGTTAGGTAGGTTCCCGCGTGTATGCGGCGCTCCTCCCTTCTGCGAGCGCCTCCGACCTACAGGCCCTACGGGCCTGCGCAGACAGAGAAGCCCCGCGGATGGCGCCTCTAGGCGCTGCCCTTGGGGTACGCGGATGCCCTACAAGGACACTTGTTTTCCCATCTGAGGTCAGGGTGTGATTCCAGCGACAGCAACGACGCCGTCCCGTGGAGGCGACCATGCCAGAGGTGTGCCGCGCGGCCCGAACTCTGAGCTCAGCAGCTCAGCGTGAAGCTGCCAAGCCAGCCGTCGACGACGGTGCCCGCCGTACTGATGACCTCGCAGTTGGTGGTATAGTCGCTCGCGCTGTGCTCGACGATCTGTGCCTTGTAGTCGTGGTGCTCGCTGCAGGTCATTCGCGAAAGCGTCAGCTTGCCTGGACCGCAGAACTTCACAGAGGCAACATTGGCGCCCTGGATCATGTTGCACTTGCCGTCCTCCGTGGTGATCTCGGAGAACTCGGCGGTACCCGCGGCGTCCGCGGAGGTCGAGGTGAAGATCTGCGTCTGCTGGCCGCACACGAACCTGGTGTGCGTCACGGCGGCCTGTGCGGACCCCAGCAGGAGCAGCACAGACGCGGCGCGGAGCGCCATGACGCGGGCGGCCTGCTTCTACAATGGGGGGCGGGTGAGGGCACAACGTGCTGCAGGTCCTTGTGGCTTGAGCCACAATGGCCACGGAGGATACCCCACAGGGAGACTGGTTGAGGGTGGGGGAGGTGCGCGGTGCGGTGGGGCCCGGGAGCGGCGAGAGGAGGAGCACGAGGAGAGGGGGGAGCAGAGTGGATCCAGGATGCGCCAAAACGATGTCTCGACACACCCTCCCGTCCCAAGTCCACCCCTCCTCAGTCCGAGCAATCATTCACTTCTCTACGGGTAGCACCTCTTTGAAAACTGAGCTCCCCATGGGCCTGCCGATCAGGCGAGAGCCCTGTCTGGAAAAGGAGCTGCCGTGCTACTTCTTTATGTGCATGGGGCTGCGAGGAAGCCGCAAGTTGGGGCATAGTCCAACGCGGGCCCGTTTCGAAAAGGAGCCGCCCTCCATCCGTGCAACTGTTGCGCATGCCGCATGCCTGGGTTTCGGGCCACACGTCCGAGGAGATCTCAAGTGACAACGCCAAGTTGCGCAGGAACGTGTAATCATCCGCGTGCCTGTTGTGCAACTTACACCTCAGACTAAAAGCCTCGAGAGCACCTCCACCGTAAAAACGCCGTTATGAAACGGAACTGCCCTCCATCACATCAGCCGTTGGTACCTAAGTTTCAAACCAGGCGCTACCTTGTAGCTGCTAGAAACGTTTAAGACGAATGCGCGCGGGGGGCGGAAACGCGAACCACATTCTGGAAGCCACCCGCCCTCCATCCGTGAACGGGGTGCGTTGCGATTGCCGTAGGTATGCGCGCGAGCACCAGCATTATGCAGGCATCGCACCCTACGTACGATCATTACTGTTACCTGGGGGGTCTTGAGCCGGGGTAATGGGGAAGGACCGTTACGCGCCAGCGGGTCATCCAAGCAATCTCACTTGAACGAGATGGGCGAGGAGCAAAGATAGGGGTCGCGCGAGAGGACACGCAGCGACCTTACGCGCTGGTTTACGCGGGGAGCTAGGCCCGCAGCACATCGTGCGGAGACGAGGGCGCTTCCTCTCGACCACACACTTTGCAACGTACGTGGGGACATCGGCTCAACGGACCCTGATTTATACGTCGTTCAAGTGCACGGTGAGGGCATACCGTCAAAACGCATAATGAGGATGCACGGTAAGCATGCACGGGCCTTGGAATACCACGTTGACGTTTCTCGAACGGGGCTGACCAGCGAAGGCCGCGAAACATGGGCCGAAGGGGCACGGCTGCAAGGAGAACCTTCGAAAATTGCTCATCCTCACGATGCGCTTTGACTGTACGCGCGGATCTCGTCGCAGCCTACCCTGCTCTCTACGTCACTCGGGTGAGTGAGTGCAGAACTCTTCGGCGTCGGCGGCGCCCGGAGCGGCGACAGCGAGGAACCAAGAGGTTCTGGGCTCCTCCGGGGCCCCGAGCCTGAGAGAAATCGGCGCGCTCGCTGAAAACGCAAACCGCCCCAACGTGCCAGAAATCGACCGACGTGGTAGCAGCCTGCGGCCATTTAGTCACGAAGATCGAGGTCTCGGACTGAGTCTCTCTTTCTCTCTCTTTCTCTCGCTCTCTCTCACTCTCTCTTTCGACGGCAGGCTGAAGTCGCGATGATGCTGGCGTGGGTTTCTGACGCTTCGCGGCTTGTTCAATCTTGATCGACTGCCGCTCTCCGATATCAGAGGTCCCTGCATACAGCCATCGTCCGACGATAAGGAACATTGAACATTGAACAAGCAACGAAAGGTTTTGTCTAGCCACGGCGAGCCTCGGCCACGGATCGGTTCCCCGACCAACGGCAAGAAAAACCTCAGCCCCTGCGGGGCACAAAGTGACCCCCATTTCAGCGTCTGGGCTGCGCTGGCAGAGTTCAAGCAACTGGTGGAATTCAACCTTGAACGCCCGCACTGCCGTCGCATCTGGGTCAACGCGGCGTGGACCTACCGGATCTCTCTCACTCACTCCCTCTTCCCCGCCAGGCCCATTGACTATGACCCGTTAGGTAGGTTCCCGCGTGTATGCGGCGCTCCTCCCTTCCGCGAGCGCCTCCGACCTACAGGCCCTACGGACCTGCGCAGACAGAGAAGCCCCGCGGATGGCGCCTCTAGGCGCTGCCCTTGGGGTACGCGGATGCCCTACAAGGACACTTGTTTTCCCATCTGAGATCAGGGTGTGATTCCAGCGACAGCAACGACGCCGTCCCGTGGAGGCGACCATGCCAGAGGTGTGCCGCGCGGCCCGAGCTCTGAGCTCAGCAGCTCAGCGTGAAGCTGCCAAGCCAGCCGTCGACGACGGTGCCCGCCGTACTGATGACCTCGCAGTTGGTGGTATAGTCGCTCGCGCTGTGCTCGACGATCTGTGCCTTGTAGTCGTGGTGCTCGCTGCAGGTCATTCGCGAAAGGTCAGCTTGCCTGGGACCTCAGAACTTCACAGAGGCACCATTGGCGCCCAGGTTAGAGCACTTGCCCGTCTCCGTGAAGGAGCGACAGGAATCGGCGGTACCGCGGCCTGTCCGCGGAGGGTCGAAGGTGATGATCTGCGGTAGTTGCTGGCCGCACACGGAACATGGTGTGCGTCACGGCGGCCTGTGCGGACCACCTGCCAGGATGCAGCACGGACCGCGGCGCGGAGCGCCATGAAGCGGGCGCCTGCTTCTTACAATGGGGGGGGGTGAGTGGCACAACGGCTGAGGTCCTTGTGGCTTGAGCCACAATGGCCACGGAGGATACCCCACAGGGAGACTGGTTGAGGGTGGGGGAGGTGCGCGGTGCGGTGGGGCCCGGGAGCGGCGAGAGGAGGAGTACGAGGAGAGGGGGGAGCAGAGTGGATCCAGGATGCGCCAAAACGATGTCTCGACACACCCTCCCGTCCCAAGTCCACCCCTCCTCAGTCCGAGCAATCATTCACTTCTCTACGGGTAGCACCTCTTTGAAAACTGAGCTCCCCATGGGCCTGCCGATCAGGCGAGAGCCCTGTCTGGAAAAGGAGCTGCCGTGCTACTTCTTTATGTGTATGGGGCTGCGAGGAAGCCGCAAGTTGGGGCATAGTCCAACGCGGGCCCGTTTCGAAAAGGAGCCGCCCTCCATTCGTGCAACTGTTGCGCATGCCGCATGCCTGGGTTTCGGGCCACACGTCCGAGGAGATCTCAAGTGACAACGCCAAGTTGCGCAGGAACGTGTAATCATCCGCGTGCCTGTTGTGCAACTTACACCTCAGACTAAAAATACCTCGAGAACACCTCCACCGTAAAATCGCCGTTATGAAACGGAAACAGCCCTCCTTCCAAATAAGCCGTTGGGAGACTAAGTTTCAAACCAAGGCGCTACCTTGTAGCTCTCTTGAGAACGTTTAAGACGAGTGGCGCGCGGGGGGCGAAAACGCGAACCCACATTCTGGAAGCCACCCGCCCTCCATTCCGTGAACGGGGGGGTGCGTTGCGATGGCCGTAGGTTTGCGCCGCGAGCACCAAGGCATTATTGCAGGCATCGCACCTAACGGTACGATCATACTGTTTACCTGGGGGTTTTGAGCCGGGGTAATGGATGACGGACCGTTACGCGCCAGGGGTCATTCATGCAATCTACTTGAAACTAGATGGGCGAGGAGCAAAGATAGGGGTCGCGCGAGAGGACACGCAGCGACCTTACGCGCTGGTTTACGCGGGGAGCTAGGCCCGCAGCACATCGTGCGGAGACGAGGGCGCTTCCTCTCGACCACACACTTTGCAACGTACGTGGGGACATCGGCTCAACGGACCTGATTTATACGTCGTTCAGGTGCACGGTGAGGGCATACCGTCAAAACGCATAATGAGGATGCACGGTAAGCATGCACGGGCCTTGGAATACCACGTTGACGTTTCTCAAACGGGGCTGACCAGCGAAGGCCGCGAAACATGGGCCGAAGGGGCACGGCTGCAAGGGGAACCTTCGAAAATTGCTCATCCTCACGGTGCGCTTTGACTGTACGCGCGGATCTCGTCGCAGCCTACCCTGCTCTCTACGTCGCTCGGGTGAGTGAGTGCAGAACTCTTCGGCGTCGGCGGCGCCCGGAGCGGCGAGAGCGCGGAACCAAGAGGTTATGGGCTCCTCCGGGGCCCCGAGCCTGAGAGAAATCGGCGCGCTCGCTGAAAACGCAAACCGCCCCAACGTGCCAGAAATCGACCGACGTGGTAGCAGCCTGCGGCCATTTAGTCACGAAGATCGAGGTCTCGGACTGAGTCTCTCTTTCTCTCTCTTTCTCTCGCTCTCTCTCTCTCTCTCTCTTTCGACGGCAGGCTGAAGTCGCGATGATGCTGGCGTGGGTTTCTGACGCTTCGCGGCTTGTTCAATCTTGATCGACTGCCGCTCTCCGATATCAGAGGTCCCTGCATACAGTCATCGTCCGACGATAAGGAACATTGAACAAACCATTGGACAAGCAACGAAAGGTTTTGTCTAGCCCGGCGAGCCTAGGCACGGATCGGTTCCCCTGACCAACGGCATGAAAACCTCAGCCCTGCGGGGCACAAGTGACCACCTATTCAGGTCTGGGCTGCGCTGGAGAGTTTCAAGCAAACTGGTGGCGATGTCCTTGACGCCCGCACTGCCGTCGCATTCGGGTCACGCGGGTGGACCTACCGGATCTCTCTCACTCACTCCCTCTTCCCCGCCAGGCCCATTGACTATGACCCGTTAGGTAGGTTCCCGCGTGTATGCGGCGCTCCTCCCTTCTGCGAGCGCCTCCGACCTACAGGCCCTACGGGCCTGCGCAGACAGAGAAGCCACGCGGATGGCGCCTCTAGGCGCTGCCCTTGGGGTACGCGGATGCCCTACAAGGACACTTGTTTTCCCATCTGAGGTCAGGGTGTGATTCCAGCGACAGCAACGACGCCGTCCCGTGGAGGCGACCATGCCAGAGGTGTGCCGCGCGGCCCGAACTCTGAGCTCAGCAGCTCAGCGTGAAGCTGCCAAGCCAGCCGTCGACGACGGTGCCCGCCGTACTGATGACCTCGCAGTTGGTGGTATAGTCGCTCGCGCTGTGCTCGACGATCTGTGCCTTGTAGTCGTGGTGCTCGCTGCAGGTCATTCGCGAAAGCGTTCAGCTTTGCCTGGACCGCAGAACTTCACCAGTGGCAACATTGGCGCCTGGATCATGTTGCACTTGCCCGTACTCCGTGCGTGATCTCGGAGAACTCGGCG